TAAAACCATAAACCCTTTTATAAAATTATATTTTAAAAATACATAATTTAGGGTTTAGGGTTTAGGAGGGTTTAGGGTATTACTTTTTAGGGAGTTTCACTAAAACACCCAAAATGGGAGCTGAAATTATAAAATAAAAACAAACCAACACCCAAAACACTTTATAAACACACCCAAAACCCATCATTACACACACTCAAAACCCATTTATAAACACACCCAAAAAAATAAACAATTGTTGACTTCTGGGGTTGATTTTGGGTGTATTTCTATGTTTAAATAGTGTTTGGGTTTTTTTATAAATACATGTCTAGGATTGGGTTTATTTATAAATTTGTATACTTTTTAACGACGGTGATTGAGTCGTGGAATATTGAGTTTACGTCGGATAGTGAAACATCCGTCATGGTTTCTCTTTTAAACAACGTCTTTTTACAAGTGAGTCGTTTATTATGATTTACAACGTCTTTAATTTATTAACCCGACGTGGTTTGTAGTCGATATAAGAATATTTTATTATTTTTAATTCAAAATATTCAAAATAAATATAAAATAAATCCAAAAAATGAAACGTCAACTCCTATGAAGTCATTGATATATTTTCTTCCCAAGGCAAAGATTCAATCTTGAAAGAGGGTGTGCCAGCGAAGGTGGTGTGGTATTTTCCTCCAATTCCAAGGTTTAAAAGGATGTTTCGATCACATGAGACCGCTAAGAGTTTGACTTGGCATGCTGCTAGAAAATCAATTGACGGTTATATGTCTCATCCAGCGGATTCCCCGTCTTGGAAACTTCTTGATGATAAATGGCCCGAGTTTGGCAATGAGTCGAGAAACTTGAGATTGGCTCTTTCATCTGATGGATTCAATCCCCACAGTTCTCTAAGTAGCAGATATAGTTGCTGGTCAGTTATCTTAGTTACATATAATCTCCCTCCATGGCTGTGCATGAAACGAAAGTTCATGATGTTGACCTTATTGATTTCCGGTCCTAAACAGCCCGGAAATGATATAGACGTCTACTTGGAGCCTTTGATTGATGATTTAAAATCTTTGTGGGTTGGGATTGGAGGAGTGTATGATGCACATAATGGAGAATACTTTACACTCAGAGCTGCATTAATGTGGACAATTAATGATTTCCCCGCCTATGGAAACTTATCTGGTTGTGTTGTTAAAGGATATAAAGCTTGTCCAATATGCGGCGATGATACACCTAGTCACAGGTTGAAAAATGGCCACAAAATTTGTTACATTGGGCATAGAAAATGGTTACCGATCAATCATCCATATAGGAGGCAACGTGCAGCTTTTAATGGGAAACCTGAATATGGCACGCCTCCTGAGCCATTAACCGGAGAAGAAGTGCTGCATATGGTTGAAGATGGTGACAGAGTTTGTTGGAAGAAGAAATCAATATTCTTTGATCTCGAGTATTGGAAATACCTTCCTGTGAGGCATGTCCTAGATGTTATGCACATTGAGAAGAATGTTTGCGATAGTATCATTGGTACATTGCTGGAGATCCCTGGAAAAAATAAAGATGGGATTGCTGCTCGATTAGATTTATTGAACATGGGGGTCAAAACTGATTTGCAACCCGAGTATGGAGAAAGACGTACTCGTTTGCCTCCCGGGCCTTGGAATTTGTCAAGAGCAGAGAAGAGAGAGGTTTGCAATTCTTTCTATGGTATGAAGGTCCCTGAAGGTTATTCTTCAAATATAAAAAATCTTGTATCTTTACAAGATTCAAGACTTCTTGGCCTTAAATCACATGATTGTCATACCTTAATGCAACAATTGCTCCCTGTGGCAATTCGTTCTGTTTTGGAGAAGCCTGCAAGGTATGCAATAACTCGTTTGTGCTTCTTCTTCAATGCTATATGTGCAAAGACTGTTGATGTTTCCAAGCTAGATAAGTTGGAAGAAGATGTAGTAGTTACTTTGTGTTTGCTTGAGAAGTACTTTCCCCCTTCATTCTTTGATATCATGGTTCATCTAGTAGTACATCTTGTCAGAGAAGTTCGTCTGTGTGGGCCAGTATATTTTAGATGGATGTATCCGTTTGAAAGATATATGAAAGTGCTAAAGGGGTATGTTCAGAATCGTACTCGTCCCGAAGGTTGCATTGCTGAGCGGTATATAGCTGAAGAAGCTGTAGAGTTTTGTACCGAGCATTTATCTGATGTTAGTACAGTTGGAGTGCCTTCAAGCCAAAAGATGGGAGTTTCAAAGCCATTATCAGGTTGCACAGTGAGCGTAGTTGATCGGGACCTGTTGAACCAAGCACATCTATATGTCTTGGAGAATACGGAGGAAGTCCTACCTTATATCGAGTACGTATGAGTTTTATTCTTTAAGTTTCCATTTTAAATTATTTCTTATGTTTATCTTATATGTTTGGGACCGTAATACTTGAATTTTGTGTGTCATGTAGGCAACATATGATCCACATCCAGACCGCTTATCCAAAATTTAGAAAGAGAACAAAGTGGCTGCAGGATAAGCACAATAGCACTTTCATTCAATGGCTACGCTTCAAGGTATATGTTATTGAATAACATATTGGACTTTTAATTTTCTTCTTTCTATGTTAGATTGAATTAAGTTATGATTAATTTGCAGGTTCAAAGTGAACTTAATGAGGAAGACAATCATGGCGTATCAGAAAATTTAAGGTGGCTAGCAGCTGGTCCAAACATGGCAGTGCCATTATATAGGAGCTATCTCATTAAAGGTATTAAATTCAACATCAAGGCACAAGATGATGTGTGGACAACTCAAAATAGTGGAGTTTATTTACTTGCACATACTATGCAAGTTGCTAGTGCCAAGGATAAAAACCCAATTCTCTCAAATATGGGTTTCTATGGTGTCATTCAAGAAATTTGGGACCTTGACTACCAAAAGTTTACAATCCCAGTCTTTAGGTGTGATTGGATTGATAATACTTCTGGTCTTGTAGTGGACGAACTTGGATTTACCCTTGTAGATTTGAGTAAAATTGGACATAGGAATGACCAATTTGTTTTGGCTTCTCAAGTCAAACAAGTATTTTTTGTTGACGACCCGATGCACCGTGGCTGGTCAGTAGTGTTATCAACGCCTAATAGAGAATATAATGATGTTATTGGTGATGATGATGTCTTAGGTGATGTGAGAATTGAGTGTGAGCCATTTACTAGAGGGATGCCAAATGTTGACACATTTGATGAACTAGTGGGTGAGTTTAGGAATCAAAATATTCGAGATGGGTGTGAAAATATATGGATTGAATGATGCTTATGTAATTGGCAGTGTATGACATTAATTTTGTAATATATTGTAATGTGATTTCTTCACTTTCATTATACAGGTTTTGGCCACAAAACAATCAGTACAAAAAATACTGGTTCAAGATTACAAACACGACGGTTTATAAAAAGGGAGTTTCACTAAAACACCCAAAATGGGGGCTGAAATTAAATAATAATAAAAATCAACATCCAAAACACTTTATAAACACACCCAAAACCCATCATTACACACACTCAAAACCCATTTATAAACACACCCAAAAAATATACAATTGTTGATTTTGGGGTTGATTTTGGGTGTGTTTCTATGTTTAAATAGTGCTTGGGTTTTTTTATAAATACATGTCTAGGCTTGGGTTTATTTATAAATTTGTATTATAAAAATGTGAAAAACAAACGTCTGTTCTAATAAAAAACGACGTTTTGGAGCATTCAACGACCGCAATATATTTACCGACATCTTAAAGCAATGTAACAAAGAAAACCACAACGCTATTGTGAAACAGTTAGTAAGGATATCACGTTGAAGAAGCATAAAGAGCTGCCAAGTAATTCCAAATAACACGACTCCAATCCCATAATACCGACGTCTAAAAGATGAGATATCTAACCTGAACGTTACAAAAGACGACGTCGTATTAACTTTTCCACGTCGCATGTTATTTCATAAACAAAGTGAAAAAGGATGAATTCATGACGGTATTTTAAATCCATTAGTAAATTTGTCGACGTTAAGATATATTTGGACTTCATTCCTTTACAAAAACAACGTTATATAAATGTATCCACGTCTCTTTTCTTATGATAATGTCGTTAAAATTTCTTTACACGGCTAATATCGGATTAACAACGCCATCTAATAGGAATTAGACGACGGTATTTTTTTAATGATGACGTATATATTATGAAACACGGTTGTATTTTGAATGATAACGACGTTGTATATTGACGACAACATCGTCTTTATAAATTAATATGTCGTAAGTAATTACCCCAACATATTTTCCACATCGTTTATTTTAAGATCGTGTCGTTAAAACTAGTTTACACGGCGGTGAACTGAGAAACCTTGATGTGTCAAATTCATTAGACGACGATTATATTTTAAGAGAGATGACGTATAAATTCTGTAATATGGCTCTCAATTATTTGTAACCGACGTTGTTTATTAGTACAGCGTCGGCAGTTTAAATATATGTGTCGTAAGTAATGACCCAAACATCTATTTCCACGTCATCATTAATAGAAAAATCGAAGTGGAAAATTCATTTCACGACGGTTGTTAAAAAGATACTGACGTAGTAGGAGTCAATAACGTCGTCGATTATGTATTTAAAGACGTCATATTTTTATTTGTCGTGAAAGGTATATTTAACGGCGCTGGGTTTTAGTTCTCGTCGTTGTATGTATATCTTGCGGCCATGTTCTGTTAATATATGTCATATGTTTCCTCTTTAACGACGTTTTTTGTTAGAATTGGTCGTCTATTCTCATCCTCGACTGTTTTTTTCTCTTTTTCCATTACAAAGACGTTGGTTATTATTTGATAATGACGTTGTTTGTTTTAACAACGACGGTGATTTAGCGTCGTGGTTTGACACCCAAATCGATGTCGGTCGATTCCACGACGGTTTGAAAATCGAATACACTACGGTGAATTTCCGTCGTCTTTATCCTTTTTTGTAGTAGTGCGTCGTCGTTTAAACCACAGATGACGTAGTAGATCGTAACCACGGCAGTGTTAGTAGGTTATACGACGTTTGTATCACGATAAACAATACGATGTTTATAATAACTGATGTTGTAAATCGTATTTCACTGTCAGAATTTAAAGTAAAAGAGATGTACGAACCTTTTTATTCCCATATTTACTGACGTCATTAACAGTTTTCACTTCTACTTTTTGACCATGTGTCGTGCAATGTAATAAAACAATGTTTTCTGAGGAAAAATTTGTGTCGTGGTATGTTCTCCTAACGTCGTCTCTGATTACTAATAGACGTGTATACGTCTTTTAATACGTCAACTTCTGAGTTAAGACTGACGGTGTACAGCTTTTTCAACATCATATCTGGAAACAAAAGTGACGTAATATTCCATCATGTGTCGTGGAATGTCCTCATCAACGTCGTCTGGTTAATTGTTTATGATGGGGTGGCTTTTTATTGAGGTGGTATTTTACTAACCAACGTCATGTTTGTTTCTTTAGAAGACGGTTGTGTCCCAAATTGAGTCATTTAATGTTTTCCAATTAGTTATTTTGGTTGTCATTTTCTTTACTTTTACGTCGGATTTTATTTATTCCGACGTCAACGTCTCCGATTTACCATCGTGGTTTTGTTTTTAAAAAGATGTCGGTCGATTTCACAACTGTTAGAAAACTTGCTAGACGACGGTGAATTACCGTCGTCTATGGCCCTTTTTGTAGTAGTATACACATTTAATTGATTTAAATGATAATTTGTTGGTGTTGTAAGGAACCATATGAGAGAAACAAACACACACAAAACTTTTAAGAAATTGATAATCAGGCGGACAATGAAGAAGCTTCTCATACGGTGACATGTGTCCAAGTGTAGAGGAGGGCAATCTATTGATGAGAAAAACTGCCATAAAGAAAGCTTCTAACCAAAGAAGGAAGCTGGGCAAGAAGATTACAGGAATTTGTTCTTGGGTGCTGCATGTAAGAAGGTTTATTACATTAAACCTACTAAAGTGATCTTCTAATCAACTTAGGATTACAAAGACTTATTGTTTATTAGGAACTCAAAACCTATCTCGATTAGGCAAGCCTCAAACAGTGTTCAATAAGGATAATGAAGGCTTAAGGGTTCCTAGTTCTACAAGGATTGGAATGGATTAATCCTATAGCATGAAGGATATCTCTAAGTGTTTCTTGATGGGCAAGACACTTAGAGAGATGCATATAAATAGAAGGCTCCCTCCTAGATCCGAATAACACAACACAGCTAAACAGAAATTCACCCATCAGAGTTATAGCTATAAGGATCGGATCCTCAGGAGAACTTCTATACCATGCGCTGCCAATCTGTTCCAGCATCATCCAGTTCTTGCGCCCACCATGTCAGACTCAGGTTAGTGTTAAACATGTTATGGCTTTAAAGGAATTAACATGTGGTATCAGAGCTTAAGTTATATCATGTTATACCTAACAAAACTCGTGCAGGAAAATTGAGAATAAATAACTGACAGTTTTAAGTTATAAAGTATGAACATGATAACAGTATAAAGTATGAACTTTATCATGTTCTTAAAGTTTTCTACAGATCATAGCTTACAGTTCTTGTGCCGTGATTGAGTAAGCCAAAGCGACTCAACCATTGCATGATTCAAGGTTTATGATCAGAATTTGCACCATGATGCAAAACATGTCGAAAGGCTTTCTGTCCAAAGATGTCAGCAGTTTGATATGTCTTGCATCATGGTGGATCGACATGGAACATGGATAGATATGGATTAGTGAAAGGTTTTCTTCTGTCTAAAGATGTAGAAGATCTTTTGCTCAGGAAATCCACATCTACTCGTTTTCCAGTGTCAATAAGCATGCTTGAATCATTGTCCAAAGATGTGATTAAGTATGTTTGATTAAAGTTCTGGGGAAATTTATATATAAAGTGCTTATCTTGTTTTAAACATGTACAGTCAATCATAACTCGATTCGAACTCTCACTGGCTCAAATTATAAGAAATGGAGAGAAGATGTGGAAATTGCTCTTGGACTTCTGGATTATGAGATGGTTCTTACTGATGAAGCTCTATCAGTACCTGCGATTGATGCATCTGCTGAGACTAAGACTAAATATGCAAAGTGGATTAAGGCCAACAAAATGGCAATTCTGATCATGAGGAGGTCTATTTCAGAAGAGGTCAGAGGCAGTATTATTGAAACTGAGAGTGCTAAGCTATTCATGGAAGCTATTGCAGAAAACTTCCAAGGATCCAAGAAAGCTGAAATTGGTTCACTCATGAGCCAGCTGACAGATATGAAATACAATGGAGAAGGCTGCATAAGAACTCATATTCTGAACATGGTTGAGATAGGAAACAAGCTGAAGGCTCTAAAAGTCCATGTGGATGAAACCATGATGGTGTACTTTGCTATTAATTCTCTACCTAGTATTTTTAGACAACTGAAAACTACTTATATTGCTCAGAAGGAGATATGGTCAGTTGCTGATTTGATAGGTATATGTGTGCAGGAAGAACAAAGTATCAGAAAGGACAAAGGAAAAGAACAAGTGTATTTGGTGCAGGATACTAAGTTTAAACCAAAGGAATGGACCAAAAACAAGAACACAGATAAGCAGCAAAGGAAAGATGAGTCTGCAAAGGGCACGGGTCCAGTAGGTTTGAAGTGTTTCTTCTGCAAGAAATTTGGACATTTAAAGAGAGATTGCAGAAGATACAAGCGCTGGTTGGA